CCTCTTTATAATAAAGTAGAGTATAGATTACAAAAAAAAAAGTAGATATTGTTTAGTTTAACACATGTTTTAACACTTTGACTGTTATTAATAAATATAGACAAGGATGGTATTCAAATTTTAAATATTTTAGAAATTGAAAAATATATTTTCAAACTCAAAAGATCCCCCGATATAATAGAATTATTTCTGAACATGTTACGGACTAATTAGATCATACTACCTCCAGCAAAGGTACGATGTGGTTTTTCCAATTATTTTTAAAAGTCTTTATAGTATATTGCCTACCTTAATTATGAATTATAAGGGTTCAAATTCAAGAATACAGCTAAATCTTACTAAGATTACAAATGCGAAGTTTATGGTAGTTTGTTACAGTTTGTAGCCTAAACTGCTAAACGAATCTCGATGAAATTTGGCATAGATATAAAATCTGGCGGAACACATAGGCTACTCACTTATTTTTTTTAATACCACTCTGACGCACTAGCGGAAGAAAGATAGCGGAAGAAAGTTATTACTAATAACAACAAAATGTTTGTTTTTTCGATCAAAATGGCGTTAAAAGCAGCGCATAAAGTTACACTTTAAAAAATATGTTAAAGAGTCACATAATGAATGCAGAAAGTAATAAGTCTTTTCTAAACAACCTTATAAATAAACGGACATGTAAGTAAACATTCTTCAGACTTCAAAGAGCATATACTAAACGTACAAACGCAATAAAAACTCATAAAACGGGCAATGACAAAAGATGTCTCGCATAAGAAAGACTCCCTCTCAAACATTTATGACATGTAAAAAAGTTTTGACGACCTCTGCATAGTGTGCCAAAAGGAAAAATTGGGGGCTCCTGCCTCGCTGAAGATCCCCTGTGTACCTACGTTTCTCCTTATTAACGAGATTGCGCGTCATGATGCAATAGTCTTGATACTTGTGAATTTAATTAACGACAGATTTATTTCACTTAGCAACAAGAAAATCTAACATTTCATTCAACAATTAACTATGTACTTGTCTACGAAACTAATGATTTGCATAGAAATTTCAATACCCCTGTATATTGACAAGGTAACCCCAAACATGACTGTTAATAAAAAAATACGAATCCATTCCCAATCTCAGAATGAGATATGAAAAGACAAACATAAAAATGATTCAAATGAAGCTACAGATTAGTTTGTTACTTTTATATTCCATTTATCGTAATATTGCAAAATATAGAAGGATCAAGTATATTTAGACGTCATATACAGTCTCAATGCCTACGCCTTGTTTCTTTTTCGCAGGGAAGCTACCGCCCCATGCATAATGGAGGCAAGTGTGCAGAATGCACGTCGGCCCTTGAAAACCTCCTACATAGGCGCGACCGTGTATAACTAACCTTACATGCTAATTAATTTGACGACTCGTTAACGTGTATGGCATACGTATAACTGCATTGCGATTTTGTTGTTATTTCATGTTGAAACGAATTAAGCATTCAAGAATTTGTGCTTTCTGTTTTAACTAGTTTTACATAAATACGTCTACAGCGAGAAAACAATCTAATGGTTTTTTGGACATTGTCTTATATGGTACGACTTAGAGTTTTTCTAAAAGCAAGTGTACCATTTTCTCAAAAGCCGGTAACGCATCTGTAATTCTTCTAGCATGCCGTGTCCCCTGTCGTCGTGTGCCTACCCGGGGGTTCGAAAAAGACGGCTGATTTGTCAAGCTGGTTATAACAGAGTTTTAAAGTCTGGATTAGAGCATAGCTTTCACGAAGGAGGACGAAGTCGTAGACTTACAACAAATTATGCATAAGTCAGGTCTTTTGAATGTATTAGTTGATTAGTTTTATAAATTACTAGCTTGCACCCGCGACTCTATCGGCGTAGAATTAAAAAAAAAACAAAAGTGAGCAGTCACTGTTCTTCCAGACTATCATCTACGTCTATGCCTAATTTCATTGAGATCCGTTCAGCCGTTTAGGCACCAAATGAACAAACATCCATCTAAAATTTCGCATTTATAATATTAGTAAGAATTCTTATACATGTAGTGTTTACAGTTCACCAATTAAAAAACAAACACTTCCTCTTTATGTCAACTTACATAATACTCAGCTGCCTTAACATAAGTTTGATCTCTTCACCTTTTACGCAAACAAAATGTGTACTAACACATCTGTTAATTGGCACCTGACTTTAATATGAAAATCAAAACGCAATTAATAATGTTACATAAACGGACGTGATTTTTTTATTTAACATGTGTCTGATTTTTTATAACCTTCAATGACACCTTTTCGTTAAATATTTTTATTCATTACTCGCTTTTGCTTGCGACTTTGTCCGCGTGAAATTTAAAAATAGCCTATGTTACTCACCGATAACTTAGCTTTCTTACGGTAAAAGAATATTTAAAATCGGCTCTGTAGTTTTCGAATATATCCATACATAGAAAAATACAAATCTTTTCTCTTTATAATATCAGTAAAGATAGGTATGCTAAGGCTTCGCCAGGGGTGATAATAGTTGTTAGCTACAATAGTTTGTAGCTCGCGCAGGTCCTTCTACACTGGTTCTTCACGGAGTCTGTCGTCAACATCAGGTTCGGTTGAGGATCTTCTGCATTCTTCACGAAGTAGCTCAGCAGGATTCAACAGCTTGTTAAATATAAAGGAAAAAGGGAAAGTCTCTACTCCCAGAAGCATTACAATAAAAAAGGTTTCAATGCAAGTATTACTTAGTTTAAAAATAACTTAATTATTAGTCTTGAGTTTAATAACAAAGGTTAACCATCAGAACTTAACGTGACATTCAAATTAAGGCCAGGTGCAGTCGATTTGCGTATTAAAAAATTCAATACTCGCCAAAAAATTCCATTGTTTAGTACAAAACTGACCCTTTACACTAGAAATAAAATAAAAAATAACAATACATACAAATTCATTGAATAATCAATCTAATTACAATAAAATAAGATTACTTTTTCATTGTAGTTCAGCGATGGTCCATTCATGGTCCTTAAGTGTAAATCTATTGTGATGTGACCCTTATTGTTTTTTGACCGAGGATAGTACAAGCCGTAAATAATTATGTACTTAAACAAAAGATGTACAGGTAGCCAGCTGCCAGCGGATTTACTATAATATGGACGCATTTGACCCTTCGGTAACCTTTTGATAAAATCAAATAGTAATAATAATCAGTTTAAAAAGTGCAGAACTGGCTATTTTTTTTGTTTTAGTTTTGTTATCCCGGTGATTGTCAGACGTCTATGTGCACTCCACAGAAAAAGGTCGAGGTAGACTCTAGCTACCGAATACGGTGACGCCTACACTTCAATAAAGCTCTTAAAATTAGCACCTATTAGGTACATATTGATCAATGCGATAATCACCTTTCTGTCTATATCCTAATTATAAATAATATGAATTTTGAGTTTTGTGGAAATTTGTTTAAAAATAAACAGAGGGTGTCAATTTTAATTTACTTAGTTACAAAACCTCTAGGGCGCCATCTATGAAAAGTACGCTGCATTATTATGGCATTACGAAAAATCATCCATGTCTCTTGAGTTTTGGTGTACGACGTATTATTATTTTATAGTTATAGTTGATTTTGATAATTTAATGAACGAAAAATTAGACATCTTGTTAAGATATTTAAAAAAAATGTTGTAATTAGACGATTTACAATTATAACTGTTATGATATCATTTGAGAACAGCGCCATCTGTAAATACAGTAACACACTAGTATTAATTGAATTGAGATTTTGAGTTAACATTGTGCCCATAGATGGCATTGTTTCAAAAAAGCCTACAAACATCATTTTTTAGAACAATAGTAAAAAATACTGTAAGTTAACTATAAATAACCATTGTGTTTTATTAAAAACTAGATGTACAATTATTTCGTGTTACCTACCTTCTATTTTATTCCCTGTTTTCCGCTACAAGGGACCACACCATATTCCCGGGATAAATTCAAGGCTCCAGATTTTCAACTATTAGTATTCACTATTAAACACATTGTTTTTTTATAGGTTTCCCACAATTATAAAGACTTTATTGCATCGCTTTAATCAGAGTATCTTTTTGCTGTATGATAATTTATTTACAATAAAAACCATATCTAAATTTACAAGATCATTTTTATCTTTAGAATTTGATATGCAATAAATTACCATAATGCAGAAATAAAGTAAATATCACTCTTCCTGTTACACTATATTACTTCCGGGTACATATTGAGAATCAGGACGTAATTTCGAATTTACAAACGAACTATTTAAATATTATTTTATGAAAAATTCTTAGTAGGAAGCAGGAAGTGGATTACGTGACTTGCATCAATCCGGTTATGGGTGTCGTTCTAGATTATTATAACCGAAAATATAATATAATAAAAAAGAGTAGAATTGTGGTCAACCAGACTATGGTCTACGGACCATACACATAGGAACACATAGACTATTTTGTCATAGTCAATTTCATCGAGATGGTTTTAGCAGTTAAGTCTACAAAATCTAACCAACATTCATCCATTTAAACTTCTGCATTTATAAAATTAGTTAATGGCCTTAAGCCCGGTGAATCTGTAAATGCCTCTTCAAGGCAAACAGTGGCCATTCAGTCGAAAAAAAAATATCGAAGTATTTAACAATTCATTGCAATTTTGTTGTAATAAAAACATTAAATGAATAATAAAGTAATAATAATGCTTAGAGATCTTATTTATTGCATCTTTTAACTATTTTTAATAATAAAATAAGGAAGTCAAATTTGTCCTACAAGAAGATTGTTTCTGTACAATTTGTTTTGCCTAAAATAGGCATAGTGATTAAATTAAACGAACACGAAACAGAAAATTTATGACGGCCATTAGATAAGATAAAGGACAATAAAACAATCATGTTTAAAAAACTTCGAGGTAATTTTTTTTGGAACTAAAAACTAATATTAATTATTTAAATATTGTAGTTAATAAAAGACACTGGATTGTTTAAAACTAGTCAAAATTTCAACACGTTTTTATTTATTATATATACAACCCAAATCTACCAAAAAGTCTTTCAACGCCTAAATTTAATTTTAAATATCACATTTTTATCACAGCTTCTTCATTAATCATTTTCAAACTTCTTAAAATGAAATCGTTTTCCCTTTTAAGACCCTTCTCACCTAAATAATAAGGGTAATTATTATCTGTCGCAAGATAGAATATACCTTCTTTACTTTTATCCACATTCAATCCTAATAAATTTGTTACTAAAGGTTTCCTCTCATAGCACTCTCTATTTCTCGCTTGCTGTACTGAATCACATTGTAAAGCTATAAATTTACCAGGATGCTTTAATGCTGCTATCCAAAGCGTATAAGATCTTATATGACTACACAATACATTACAAGGCATCCATAAAACATCACCAGGCTGGTATTCACCACCATTCACATAAAAATTAACATGACCCGTAGGTGCTGCAAGTCCGTATCCATCTATGTTAGTCTTAATAACATCAACGAAATCAGCATCCGACATATCCAAACGATCTTCAGGACCGAGGTTTCTAAAACAAGGTCCAGATGGATCAAGACCGGTTAGTCTTGATATATTCTTGCCGGTTATCTCTTGGAATTTTTTTGCTAAGTAACTCATCGTATGCGCTCCAAGACTTAGACCGACGATTTCTAGCTTCTTAGGATCTAGTCCCTCCTCCATTAGTACTATCAACATTTTAGCTGCGTGTCTGCCGACTGGACGCATGAAGCGAGCGGCCCTGAAATATAATTACGTATGATTTTAACATTGCAAAATATTCAAAAGATTGCTCATAAGAATCAACTCGCGTTTTTATCAACGGCGCCGCCGTTGCACTAATGCCGGGTTGATAGCCTTATATCACAATGGAAAAACTAAATCTGTTTTTGTATTATTAATGAATAGTTATATAAAATAGAATTTTAAAATATAAGTTTCATATGCTCTATCATACTCTACCCATCGGCATTCAAATACAACCGTCATATTTATGAGAGGTCTGAATATTGTTTATACTAACATCGGATACTCCATAGTGGTAAACATATTGGTGTCCAGTAAGATCACATTATAATTTAACTCTTGATATGCCGCAGCAATAGATGATGCGACGGGAAAGTTAGGGCTGTCAAGGAATCCACCAATGTAGAGTAAAGTCTTCTTCTTAAAGTCGATATCTTTGTCACGAGCTAATTGGCGCATTTGGAAGTATGTGTACTTGACGTGGCGTGCGCTGAAAATGTTCCCCGGACCTTGTACGTAGAATGATAAATACTTTAACGCCTTCTTCGTTATAATTGCCTCCTTACTTGAACCTGGACCTGAAACAGTAAATGATATTTCTATTTGAATATATCCAGTACAGTAGAGCGTCGGTGGCTCAATGGTTTAAACACTTGACTTGTAATCTATAGGTCTTGGGTTCGAATCCCGCCATGTACCAATGTGATTTTCAATTTTTCGAATTTTCATACGTATATAATTTACCCGACGTTCTTACGGTGAAGGAAAACATCGTGATGCAACCTGCACATATCGGCGAAGAAATTCAAAGATATGTGTGAAGTCAACCAACCCGCACTGGGCCAGCGTTGTTGACTATGGCCTAGTTACCCCTTTCTTAGGGTAGGCTCCGAGCCCCTCGGTGGAGACTTTTAGAGAGCTGGTAATGATATCCAGTACTAAAATTATTGTAAACATAACAATTGAAAACTAGTCAGTCCGTAGGTCTGACATGACATAATCTCATACCAGGTTTCGCCAGCGAAATAGCCTATATGGTCTTTCACTCTATCCTCTATATAAACATGCAGAATTTCATTTAGATCTGTTCAGCAGTTTAGATTACAAACTCTAATAAGCATACATCCGTCTAAACTTTAGCATTTATAATTTTTGTGAGAGAGATTTCATTAGAAAAAAATGTCGATTGTAAGAAAGAGCAAATGACATTGTGTTACATAAAGAAAACATTATATCAGATATACATATTTGGAAATTTCCAATATGTCAATTATTTAGGAAATCAATAAATATGTGCATAAATATGTGCGGTGTAAATGTCAATAGGAAGAATGTTTTTTAAAAGGAAACCGTATTATTGTTTTTGAATAATATTGATATTTCAAAGTCACAAATTTTCATGGATTATGCACTCGATGAAATATCACATAAAGTAGTTTGTTTTCACAGATATCTTACTAATATTATATAGGTATTCGACAATTTAGTTGGATGTTTGTTGGAGTTTGCTGCCTAAAACGCTAAACGGATATCGATGAAATTTGGCATAGATGTAGAGCATAGTATGGAAGAACACATTGGCTACTCATTTTTAATTTTATACTTCCAAAGGGGAGTCGCGTCCGGAAACTAGTAGGTAAATAATTTTACGCCCTAATCAATGTTAACAATATAATTCGACTTTTAATAGCTTAACCAATCGCTTTTTTGTTTACGATAAACATTAATTATTCATAGTCTAAGGAAATATAAGTACAACAACGAACCTACGGAATAAAAATGAAGTGGGTCATATGACCATACTTGAAGAACACACATTGTTTTGTCCTTGCTGATACCAAATTAACTATGAACAAGCTTATCGTGCTGTTTAAATACATGTAAAAATATTGTTATCTCTTTTCTTTTCAAACAGAATGATAGTGATGACAAGTTCGTATGTGTAAGTGACCATGGTCGTCGTTAGTCGATGATCTAAGCTAGGCGTAGGTTTGGTGTTATCATTAAATTGGCGTTATTCGAAGTGCTTTTGATATCTTTGTTAAATTTTCTAATAAAAAATGTATATTTGTTTACAAAATAATGACGCACTACAGTAATAAGTAGTAATCTTGAAAAAACACTCATAGCTATATATGCACACACACACAAACATATACTTACGCATCTATTCGCATTCATACACACGCACACATGCAAAAACACATTAAGGTAGTTTTACCATATAATATTATATATCTTACTAATCTTACTATTCTTACTAATATTATAAATGCGAAAGTTTAGTTTAGCTTTCGTCCGCGACTCCGTCCGCGTGGTATTAAAAAAAAACAAAACCAAGTAGCCTATGTGTTCTTCCAGACTCCCCTACATGTATGCTAAATTTCATTGAGATCCGTTCAGCAGTGTAAGCTACAAACTCTAACAAACATCCATCTAAACTTTCGCATTAATAATATTAAAAGTAAGAAGTAAGATTTGAAAAGTATATATTTTTTTTAATTAATAGTTAAAACGGTTTTAAAGTACGAATTGTTAGAAAAAAACAAACGAATCGATAACCTCCTTTTGGGAAGTCGATCTAAAATTTAATCGTTTACATTTAACTTGTGCATAATATTAGAATCGTGTATCTACGAAGAAATACTTTACATTTGAGTTTTTACTTATTACAGGGTTGTAAGGTTATAAAAAACCAATTAATCACAAACTTAATTTTCAACATAAGTTATTCTAAAAAACATTAAGAAGTAGTAATAAAGAGTAATAAATGCTTTGACGCGTGAGAAAAATCCACTTTTTTGATAAAAACAAAAAATGTATTTCGTTTTGTTACAAGAATATGCATACGAGATATCAAGAATACTTTTGCATTTTATATGTATGTTGTGTACAACGTATATTAATATGTGTTAAGTGCAAAAGCAGTAGAACATTTGTTTTAAATATTTTTTCCCCGTTCCCGTGCGACTTCATCCATATGAAATTATGAAAATTTTATTTTATTGTTCACATTTATCAAATTATCAAACTGACATGACAAGAGAAACCTTGGCAATTTTGTTTCCTTGATGTTGGCAGCAACTTATGGTCTCTTTCCCACATTAGGGATTTTTTCCAAAATATTTACCTCATAAGTTTAATGGCGTGAAAATATATAGTCTAAAGCGTAACGTAAGTGTAGGGCTCTTGATTAAAAAAAATATGCTGTAATTGCTGACATCTTAGGCAACAAAGAAGTGTGTGTTTACGCTTTATTATAATAGTATAGATAATTTTGTTGTGTCGAAATCCGTTTGTTAAAAATTTAATTAAGGTATTGACTGAATTGGCCTCCTTTAAAGTTCCACTCACCTCAGTTCACCTCCACATCGACAAAATTTAACACAATTAACGATTATTAATTTTTAAATTTCAATGCAAAACTGGTTTCTCTATAAAAACTTCGTAAGGAAGTAAACTATTTATTTCAATGTGACCTCAAACAGCGAAAGGGCTTAAGGAAGTACGCTGTTAATTGATAGCCACCCTTCAATCCCAACGATAAAAAATCGCGTTAAAAATGCTGCAATGTTATACGATTTGAGAATAAAGTCAAGTCCCTTTAATTGTTATTTTTCTTATGCTAGATTGCTGAAGTCTCCATTTATTTTATCACTAGCATGCACGCGATTTCGTCGAAAAATATATCCTATATTATTCACAGATAAGTTACCTTAATTAGTTAAAAGGAATTTTAAAATCGGCTCAGTAGTTTTTGAGTTATTTCAATACATACAAAAATACAAATCTTTCTCTTTATAATATTAGGGTAGATATAGATTATCTAGTGATTCATTAGTTAAGTTGATCTAAGTTATCAAAGGAGTAAAACTCAAATTACGTAGTTCGGAAACGCGTTTCATGAAGTTTTCGAACCAAAAAAACTAACGAATATTTAAATGTAGCTAGGAAATCGACCATAAAAAGATGGCAAACGAGCCGCCATATTACCCTTCAATAGCAAAGACACTGCTAGCCAAAGATTCAACAAATTAAATGTCACCAAATGTATAATCTACTAGAAAGGATAATTCCCTCATTACGTCCCCTCCCCTGTCATACCACTTCCCTTACTATCCAGGTTGATAATTGCTTTTAAAGAAAATTTTGTTAAAATACGGTAAATTGTAAAATCTAAATATTCTATGACTGCATTGCTCTTTGTTAGCCAAACAATGTTTTATGAAGATAAATGGCATTTAACAATGTCTGTTTGTCAGTAGCAAATATATGGTGATAAACTTTTATTACCGTATTACTTGTAATAGACCCATTACGAGATTTTTAACAATAATTACTTTAAAGTTGAAGTCGATGATTAAACAACTTAGTTACAAATCTGAGATTAACATATGATCGATTTCTTAAAAAAGTTATCTGTATATTCTAAGATACTTGGACCTGAGGGTTTATCACGAATAATTGTGGGAACGATTTCGTAATTATCACCAAAGTTTGTATTAGATTTTTGCAGCACCACTATTGGACGTGAAGTACACAAACAAATGATATACAAATTTTATCTAATACGTTACGAATACGTTCTGTCTTGATTCGCGATAGATCCTTTAACGTTTCCCTAAGTCTCTTGGGTGTCACAATTTTTTTTTTGAATTCACAATTTGATGTTAATGTTTCACGGTTCACAAACGTTCGGTGACATAAGTGAACACTATTTTAAACTTAAAGACCCTTGGTTAAGCAGTTAAACTGCAGTACAAATGTTTGTGCATAAAGTGTTTGTTTTCGTGAACATTTTATTGATGTCATCGACATTTTATCCTAGATTTCCTTTATAGTGGTTTTTCACTGAACTGTTAATGAAAATGAGAGGGAAATGCATTTTTAGAAATTTTATTTATAATAAATAAAATTTAAACAATTTTTTTCTTACCTTTAAAGTTTTTAGAAATAAATATGGCTTTACAATATTTTTATACTGACAAGTCCTAGACAAGTCCAAGTATATATTTATCATAAATTATTGAAAAGTAAAGACTGCATTTTTATGGTCGTTTTTTCTTTTCTTTTTACTGATATTAAAAAAAAGGAAAGATTTGTATTTTTGGATTTTTGTATGTATTAAAATAACCCAAAAAATACTGGGCCAATTTTACAAATTCGTTCACCATTAGAAAGATAATTTATCTGTGAGTAACATAGGCTTTATATTACACGCGCGCGAAGTCACGAGCAACAGTTAGTTTATATAAAAAAAACTTACAATCTCCGAGTATACCAGATGGATACCCCTCCAGGGCTTTCGAACTTTCCATAGAAGTAACATCACTTGTAACTAAAAATAACAATATATATAGAACGGTCCGTAACATGGTCGGTACGTATACACTTGGCAATGCACCGGGCGCTGCACGTCCGAACTCAAGCAATGTCAATGCCCCAATGCGTCAACGTCAAAACAACACGAGGTTTCGCACGACTCATGAAACCTTCCCGTATCTTACATTATATAGCAATTAAAAATGAACTTGTCCATATTACAATAAATAAGTATGAATGTGGTCAACGGTGTACGGATTCCAGTTTACGTTGCAATGCTTTCAACAGTGGTAGAGCCCGCTTTAACTCACGAATCGGTCGGCTCGTTCGGTGCAATACAACGACCACACAAAGACAGGCGTGAAGTAGAAGCAATTCCGCGTATCGTAAAATGAGTATGCGTGCCGCAGTCATAATTTTAGTTGTCCTTTCTTTTGTAACCTTTGTGTACAAAAAAAAGTAGGGGAATGGAAAATGGTAGAGAAAATATTATATTTTCTGCGTAAGAGGGGCTTTATAGATTTAAGGTAGGCGACTACAAATGATGTCTTTGGCAGATAGTTTAACTAATTTGTCGAATTCTGGTGACCGCTTCCTCGTTTGTCATAAGTCACAAGTAATGTGACAAATTTATGTGCAAGCAAAAAGCTACAAGATGGACAATCCTTGTCTGACTTCCCCAGAACATCTTACTAAATCCCCATCAAAATCTGTCCCGTGTAACAAGGGGAACAAATATAGTTACAATCGTTTTTTGTATTTCATTGCAATAAATCTGATTTCTTACACAAAATGCGTGCTAAAAACGAGCCTACTTTGTTTGTTGCGAACTTGACCTATACTCTGATCGGATCGATTGAAACAATTACTGCAATTACATATTAATTATACGTTTGTGCATATTTTTTATAATTCCGATTACAAATAAGGACATTTAGTAAACAGTACGCTGAGCAAAAAGGCAATGATTCAAAAAATTCAATTGTTAATCGAGAAACGAAAAAAATGGATTACTTGTATGACAGAAAAATGTCTACGGAATATCTTCCGTATCTATCAACAACTTAAAAAAAATAAAACCCTTCAAAAAATCTTACTAATATTGTAAATGCGAATGTTTAGATAGATGGATGTTTGTTAGAGATTGTAGTTTAAACTCGATGTTGGTATAAATGTAGAGTATAGTCTGGAAGAACACACAGACTACTTACTTTTTTTATAATTCCACGCGGACACTGCGCGGACCACTTGTGTTATAGTAAATATAAAAAAATAAAATTATGAATCTTCTTTTGTAGCGTTTTCAAACTTTTTGCTTGTATTATGTGATTACAGATGCTTTGCTGTATTACAACGCAAGCAAGTTCTGTTCATCACATTACTGCGAGATACAATCTATACTATTATAATAAAGCGTAAACACACACTTCTTTGTTGCCTAAGATGTCAGCAATTACAACATATTTTTGTACAATTCTCCTTTTAATAAAATGCCCTACACTTACGTCACGCTTTAGGCTATAAATTTTCACGCCATTAAACTTAGGGGGTAAATATTTTGGATAAAAACCCTAATGTGGGAAAGAGACCATAAGTTGCTGGCAACATCAAGGAAGCAAGATTGCTAAGGTTTATCACGTCATGTCATTTTGACGTAAGCAATTGATAATTTGACAAATGTAAACAATAAAATAGAATTTTCATAATTTCATGCTGATGAAGCCACACGAAAACAGCTAGTGTCCAATAAAAAATTATCTCGCAGTTTCTAATTACCTTTATAACTTGTTCCTACGTAAAAAAATGTGAAATCCTTGTTCCTGGTTCATTTTTTTTACATGATATCAACTTATCGATTGCTTTATTAATTACATTTTACACTATTGACACTAGAATCTATTAACTAGTTATTAATATGTGGAAAAAAATATAACCGGTTCTATATGTTTATATACGTCTCAGGAGAATTAAATTAATCATTTTTACACTACCGATTTAATGGATGCTTGACTTGTTTGTCAGAATTTAAATTCCCATTGAAGTTATTATAAGTTTACTTAGGTAAAATTACGAATCTTAAATGTGTTCAGTTTATATTCAAGGCTTATTTTATATAGTTATATATTATAAGGCGGCAATCAAGCAAGCGGCCACCTGAATCCTCCGAAATGGCGAAGCGACCTCTGCCCATAGACATACGCAATTGCAGATTCGTCCTACCCTTAATCGACGAAGGAGGAGACGCACTAACAGGATATTTTCCCTTCCTATGCGTCTCCTCCACCTTCAAATCTACGTTCTCTTCCCATCCTTTTCTTATAAGAAAAAGGGTGGGAAGGAAACGGGACTAAAGTAGGGCCTCCCGCACCACACTCATCAGACACATCATTTGACGCCTGTCTTCTATGTTGTCGTGGTATTACACCAGGCGAGCCCACACATTCGTGCGAAGATGTTAAAGCGGGCTTTACAACTGTTAAATAACTAATACATAAGTTTGAAAGAAACAATCAGGCAAGAACTTTTCTTTATCTTGGTATATGTTATCTTTACATTAAACTAAAGATTTAGGCAATCAAAGTAAATAACAGTGGTAGTGCTCGCTTTAACATCTTAGCACTAATGGGCCGGCACGCCCGGTATAATACCATAACCACACCGAAGACAGGAGTGAAATGGAAGCAATTCCGTGTTTCGTCTGATGATTGTGGTGCCGAAGGCCTAATTTAAGTCCCTTTCTATTTACCACCCTTTTATCATAAGGAGTGGATGGGAAGGGGAAGTGGATTTGACGGTGGAGAAGATGCATAGGAAGGGGAAATATCTTCTTTATGTGCGCCTCCTCCTTCGT